GGGGTAATGTCAGCTGAAGACAAAAACTGGAGCCAGTCAAATACACACACAGCTGACCAAACACATCCAGTTTATCGTGGCTGCAGGTCATCTCTATAAAGTTAAGGATCTTCTAAATCAAACATCATTATATATTATATACTTTGTATTGTTCCATTATACTTCTGTACTGTGTGGAATTGTGGGGAGCCACCTATAGAACACACACCATCCAATATATATTCTGCAAAAAAGAAGCATCAAATCAACTTTTTATTAAATTAAATATTCTTAAATTTAAAGACTTGGTTGACCTGATAACTGCACAAATAATGTATAAAGTAGGAAACAAATCTTTGAGCCACAACATTCAGAACTTGTTCCAAATAAGACCAAATACCCTTAGAGGAAACCCTATGTAGTTAGGATTCATGTAAAAACAATAAGTTACATGAATGTTGCTGTATCATTGTGTTCTATTGAATCCTTGTCTCATTTTTATATTTTTAGCAAATTGTGGTATTTGAAACAAGCGCGTAGCAACAAATAAGTGTAAATCTATCTTTTCTACTCCTTTTCAAGCGTATTAATTGAGTGGATATAGAGATATTAATGACAACTTTGATGCCTTTGTTTTGTGTATGTGTTTTCTTGTTATTTTAGTTATATTGACATGTTCAAAATAAATTCTATTCTATTCTATTGCATCTCCTTCTCTGCCCTCATTTTCTGTTTTCACCCTGTCTGTGCAGGTGTTGTCTTCCCATACTACCCCCGCCTGGGACGCTACAACCTTAATTTCTACGATGCAGAGCGGGCGTGCCACGATCAGGATGCTATCGTGGCATCTTTTGACCAACTGTATGACACATGGCGTGGAGGGATGGACTGGTGCAATGCTGGCTGGCTGTCTGATGGCACAGTCCAGTATCCCATCAACACCCCCAGAGAACCCTGTGGTGGCAAGAACACAGTGCCAGGCATTCGGAACTATGGGTTGAGAGACAAGGACAAGAACCACTATGATGTTTTCTGCTTTACCTCCCACTACAAAGGTGAGGAACAGCACTAAAACTGTGTTTTTGTAGGTATTGGCGACAAACACATCTGCAATACTGAGGGCAACATGCTCTCTGTGGTTACTGGGTTATGAGTTGATTGAAAACATTTTTACCTGTTTGGCCACCTAAAATTGAAAAAGAAACGAATGTTAATACTATAATACCAACATGTAAGAGTTTCTGAAAGTGTGCTTCTTTTTTATGTGGCTAAAACAAAATCCAGCCCTAACCACAAATGGGATGCTAGTGCCCTGATGGATAGCAGGTCTAAAGAAGTTAATTAACACTTGGTATTAACATGTCTTTAAAATGTAGCTAGTGACCTGATATTTATCAAATTGTTGTTGTTGGTTTTTTTGTTGTTTTTGTTTTTTACACACTATTCAATCCAGCTTTAATATGAGTTAGTATGAAGAGCCATGTGCACTGTAAAAAAAATCCGTAAAAATGCAGTACAATCTACTGTATAAACGTGAAGGAATTTTCCGTATTAGTCATTTACAGGTATTTTTCTGTATTTCTCAACTACTGCAATGCATTGTGGGAAAAAGAACCTGAAAAGGAGGGAAAAGTAAGCGCAAGAGCAGCCATTAGGCTGCTTTCAGGCTTCATCTGGATTTTGGATTCTGAAGTTGGAGAAACTGCCTTCAAATTTCTGTGGTAAGTATCAAAACTCATGTTTCGTTTTATTAAAATAATGTTTTTCAAAAGACTCCGTGTTTTTATTTAGAAAGAATTGTTAATTTATTTGTTAACTGGTTTCGGCTGTCTCCAGACAAGTCAGGAATATTTTGCTGACTCATTTTTAGAGAGAGTTTTATGACAAGATGGATGCTGTCATTATATTTTAGTATAGTGTTTGAGTTAAGGAGAATAAAAGAATATTTAACATTAATTGTACCAATGT